TGTTGCACCTCGCGGTGGCATAATGGTCAGGAGGCCGCGTCCAAGCGCGACTCGACGCTGTTTGCCGCCATCGACCGCTCATGGATCCAGCTGTTCGGCTCGATGGAGACACCGATCATGGACGGCGAGGGCGGGGTGACTTCAACCTACATCGTGGAGGAGATGAAGAGGGGAGGAGTGCCGTTTGAGATGCGTGCTCCGCGGCAGAACGCTCGTTTCGTCGATCGGCGCGGGGCCCTGCCACGACGCGCACATTGCACCGCGGAGGATGAGCTTGAGCGCGAAGGCATCGCAGCGAATTTCGACCCCATGCTTGCACGCGCCATCTTTGCTGGCAGCTGCCATGCCCGCGAGAGCGGCGCTACGCCGCGCAGCGTCTTCTTCGGACGGCAGCCGCCAATGCTGCCACCGCTCGAAGCAGACGAACAGGGTGAGGCATCCTCGACTGTCGCCTGTGCCGAGCCTCCCGCTGCTGGGGAAGCGCAGCCCAGCCGACTGCAGTGGCGCATCCAGGAGATAGCCCTGCAACGCATGATCGAAGCCGCATCGATCGCGCGCGTCGGCCGCGCCCTGAGGGCCCGAACCACCGAATCCGGGGGGGGTCGCTTTAACGTGGGCGACCAGGTGGGATCCGCAGGCCGTCAAGCACCAAGGACGTGCCTGGCTGGGTTGGTCCTAGGACGGTCATGCCTGTAGACCAGGATCGAGGCGAGGTGGCGGCCAAGCACCGCCGAGCCGAGATAGCCTGCAGACGGCAAGACGCCCAGGCCTTCATCGGCGCCGTCTTCGACGAGATGGGCACCAGCATGGCGCGAGCAGGCTTGGCCTGGGACCGCGCGCAGGACTACCCGGAGCACGCGGCACCAGGCTCCGGGGTCAGGACATTCGGCCACTGGGAGGACACCCCAGGGCGCCGCGCAGCTCACTGAGCAGGCGTGACAACGCCCAGACGTCCTCGAAGCCCTGCGCCATCGTTCCCGCACATGCTTTCAGCTACTAGACGCTTGCGCTGCGCGACTCGTTCGCGGGCAGAAATGGGCCGGGCTGCATCCGCAGCTTGGCCATCTCGTGGCCCTCTCGGTACCTTGAGGGCGTCCAGCTGGTCCACCTCAAAGGCGTGACGTTCGACGCCCGCCAGCTCATCGGCGAGCATTGAAAGGGAGCTTGCGTCATCCAGTCTATCTTGGGCGATGAGCCATCAATGGTGACAGACGCCAGACAGGGCGCAGACGGAACGTTCGCTTACTGCGTCATCGACGTTCCCGAGGACGCCGCCATCATCAACGAAGGTTGATCGCCATCAGTCTTGTCGGCCGTCCCAGAGGAGACCGGCGGCGATTTCTGCGGGCACATCCAACAGGTGACGTTGGCAGCTTGGCGCGAGGTCGAGGGGCAGAAGATCTGGCCCAGGAGCTGGAGGATCTGGAGAGCGCCGACAGCCGGCATGAGATCTCCGCCGCTGTCGAGCATGCCGCGGCAGACCTGGGCCGCGGGTCGCGCGAGTGGCCCCAGAGCCTCGAGAAGCAGCGCCGGCGTCAGAGCACCCCCGCGCAGCGCCGCCACTACACGCGCGGGGCCTTCTTGGGCGGCTGCGCCTCGCTATAGGAGGGGGGCGATATAGGTGGACATTTGTATTTGCATCTTGGCCCAAGCGTGCGCGAGACATTCCCGAGCTTCAGCGAGGCTGCGTCTGGCGACTGCGTCGCCAGAGCTTCTCAGACAGCGGCTGCGTCCGGCAACTGCGTCGCCGGCTCTGCTCAGGAAGCTGCGCTCAAAATTCGCGCCGCCGTCGAGACCGCGGTCGCTATGCGCGACGCCGACCTCTTGTCCAACGAGGAAGCATCGAAGCTGTCGAAGGAGGTCGCAGCGCCCATCCTCGAGGAGCACGCCATCTCGGTCACGCAGAAATGTTTCGAGGGGCGGCCGCTCAAGGGCGCCCGGAAAGACAGCGCGCCCCAGGCGCGTCTTCAAGCGGAAGCACCGGAAGGGATCAGACGAGATGATCCGGTGCCTGAGGGGCTCCCGTCGCGCGAACGCACGAGCCCTGGAGACCTTCGCTGGGACAGCGAAGCGGGCGTCTCAGCGCCCACTATCCTCAGTGGCAGCGCGGCGCCTCGACAGGGCGCGCGTCGCCGTTGACGTCGAGAAGGCGCTACTGCGTGGCGTGGCCCATGCAGAGGTGCATGGGCAAGGCGAAGCACGTCGACATGTGGACTTCGCCCTGCCGCCCGGCAGCGCAGCCATCCTCGGGCGGGTGCCTGGCTACGAGAGCCTCGAAGGGTGCGCCAGGAGCCTTCTCCATAAGGCTCGCCTTGGTCGCGCGCTCACCTGGGCGCGGCGCCGACCTACCAGGCGGGGCGCGGAGCTTGAGGTCAAGCGCGTAGCGACCGGCAGGTGCGCTGCCGGCGCCTCGGAGATCGTTTTCGCGTTGTCCAATCGTTGACGATTTGAAGATCGCTGGGCACAAGGAGCACGTCGACTGGCGGATCAGCCTCATCGAGAGCGTCTTCGGCAAGATGAAAGATGACTACGACGACTTCACCAACTGCGGAGTGCACCCGCGCCGCTGGGCCGACGATGCCGCGGCGCTCGACCAGGGCGAGTAGATCGACGCTCTGATGCCGATCAGACATGCCGATCTGGCCAAGGCCAAGGCTGACTAGCCAGCCGGAGGTCTGCTTCCCGACCCCTCTGTCTCCCTCCTGGGAGCAGCGGCCTGCGCGTTGCTCACCCAGAGGGAGCGCGCTCGGCGACTCAGCGCGCACAGCCACGCGGCGACGGGCCCTTCAAGGAGAGGGGGGGGGGGGGGGGGGGGGGGCATCAGGATCCGGCGCGAGGGGGGCTGTGTACATGCGTCTCGGCAAGCGCCGCCGCGCCGGCAAACCGGAGGGCAACCTGCTGGACGCCGTGAGCCGATCGCACAGGCATTCGTGCAGATCCTCATTCGGCTCTGAGCTGCTCGCAGCATGCGTCGCAGCAGACGGTCTGCAGGCGCACCTTCTCACGTTGCGCGAGATGGTGCGCGGCTTCAGCGCTGCCGAGGAGCTCGGGAGGCCGGGGGGGGGGCGGGGGTTGCGCCGTCCGCGCGGACCTCGCCGTCGACGGCGCGTCTGTTTCCAGCGCCCTGCTCACAGGCCCGGCCCAGCCGCCTTACGAGAAAAGCACGGTTGGAGACCTGTAGCGGTTAGCTGACCAGCTGCGCACCAAGCGCCTATCATATCGATGATTTGCACTGGCGCGACACTCGGGACATGCGGGCTGACCCCGTGACCAAGGGCAGCATGGGCCCAGAGCTAATCTGCAGCGTGATGGACGGCCCGATCAGCCATGGCCACGCCACGGTCAAGTTCAGCAACGAGAAGCTGAAGGAGGCCGCTCCGAGATCACAGCGTAGCTATCACTCACGCAGAAGTAACGAGAGGACTCGTGACTGCGCCACGAGGTCACGCGGCGTCGGACATCGGATCTGCGACATCAGCGTGCGAGATTGACGAATAGAGCACTCCAGCCAGTGGGATTGCTCGGACCGTGTCTGGGCAACTCGCGGATGTTTTGGCGGTGCTCCTTGATCGTGTCGCATCTTTCCAGCTTGAGGGATAGATTCGCCTCTTTCGGCTAGTCCCACGGGCTCTGACGGGGGTACTTTCATCCCTTTCCACTGGTGCCGGACAATGTTTTTGCGGTTGGCGCCGAGGGAGGCCAATGTGCCTTCGGGGCGGAATGAAGGCCGTCAACCCAGATACGCGTCGAATTCAGGTGAACCTGCCCCCCTTGCGACCAGGCCTTTTTTATTATTAAGGGGCGGTTCGTAGAGCCCTTTTTTGCATTGATCTCCCGAGTGCACGACGGACGGGCTTAAGCACCAGAAGGGAACGGTTGCCCACCTGTCCATCCTCACCATTGCCCGTTGTAGTGGTCTCCCCTTGCCGCCGCCATTTATCCTCCTGGGGCCAGGAGGATATCCAACCGCGCCCGCTCAACATATGGCTTACAAACTATAAATCATTTTACTGGTTCTCCTGACGGAGCGCAGTCTTTCACAATCTTACATTCACATCACTAGAAGCGGAGGCCGACCTCGCCCGGGAGAGAACGAACAGTATACCTTTTTCAGCTCTGCGCACGGGTGCCGTTTTCAGCCCCCCCGCTCCGTCCTGGGATGTCACGACGAACACGGGTCAACGGGAGCGAGCACGGCAGGGATGACAAGGAACAGCTTTCGGCAAGAAAGCAGACACGTTAACAATAATTTGGTTCCACGGCGACGGGCCTACAAACTCGTTCAAAGCAAGTGACGTGTTCTTAGCGTTTCCAGCGTGTCAAGATCCCAATGTGCATTACGTTTGTATTTACCAGAACAAACGCCCAGGGCGTTTCTCTGTGAACTAATAGCATCAGCATCCTCACCTTCGCCATCACCATCCTCATTATCATCATCCTCTTTGTCATCCTCATCAGCAGCATCATCACCATCACCGTCATCATCACCGTCACCATCACCAGCAACATCATCATCATGATTACCGTCACCATTACCACCGCCACCGTTATCAACATCATCACCATCACCACCATCATCATCCCTGCCGCCATCATCAGCAACATTACCCTCACCCCCAGCACCAGCATCACCCGCATCATCCTCATCCTCACCTCATCATCACAATGATTTCCGCCAACATTATCCGCGCCATATCCGTCACCCCCCGGCACCAGCATCATCCTCACCGTCACCACCATCATCATCATCATCATCATCATCATCATCATCACCACCACCACCACCACCATCACCATCACCATCACCATCACCGTCACCGTCATCATCACCACCACCATCAGCAGCATCATCACCATCATCCTTACGTCTCCCACATCATCAGCATCATCGTCACCGTCGTCATCACCGCCATCACCACCATATCTATCCCTCTGCCCCCCTTCCTCCCTCCCCCGACCTCCCCCGCTCTTCGCCCTCGCCCCCCCCCGTCGGCACCCGC